AATCTGTTCATCGCCTTCTGGCAGCCGGGGATGTAGCATCGCGACAACGTCTGCCACTGATCGACAAAACGATGATGAAGATATGAGTTAGAACGGAGTCGCTACCCGTTCTGAACGGAGGAGGCAGACAGCGCGAGCTTACAGTCAGAAATTGGAACACATCTTTACTCAGAGGGAAAGAGAAGATGGTGGTGGATGAGATAAAAAGGTACTGCCTAGACAGAGTTGCACTCTTGTCAACGAAGCGCTATGGCTCTGGAATTCTGAACGTCGGCGGGTGGAAGCGTTTCTGCTGAGGTGTCGACATCTCAGCGCCCTCAAAGGCAGGTTTTGGTGTTCTGGCAGAACCCAACCTGGCTGATAGAATCATTGAATGGAAACCTATCAGCAGAAAAATAGCCATTCTCTGACTGAAGCCACAGCAGGCTTAAGCTTTGACCTTGTTACATTTTTATGCCCCAAATTTGGAGGGGGAATATGACTGCTTCCTTGAGGAATTGGAAGTTGTTCTGTACGAAGTGCTGACTACGGAGTCTGTCATTACAGTAAGCGATTTTAATGCGCATGTCGTAGCATACACTGAAAAGTAGAAAAGCGTGACTGGAAGGATCGGCGTTTTAGGTGCGTCAAGCTGTTGTGATTTTGTGAAAACAACGGTTTTTTACGAGCACCTTCTTCGAGCATCGAAACGTGCATCAGTGTACCTGGTATAAGGAAATTTCTGCACAAAAGTCGATGATCGATTTCATAGTCGTATCATGTGACTTACGACACTGTAATAAGTCTTCGAGTTTGGAGTTGCGCAGATCTGCGAGTCGATCATTACCTTGGTGTTAGCTACCTCCGCTGCAAACGATGGAGTACCATGCGAAGGTCTGACAGCAGAAGCAATCAGGGAATCAAGTGTGAAACATTTTTTTCTTTCCATGCTGTGGTTTAAAACGAGTTGGTCAGCGGATCTGAGGCAGAGACAGTCTTCCTGAGGTTCGACTGGCAGTCACCGAGAAGAAGGCTACACTCAAGAGATGGCTTGGAAATCGAGCCTTCAACTTGAATGCAGTAAGAAGTACGCAGTGCTCAAGGCATCGACAAAGGCAGTCACCATATTTAATGGTGATTCCTGCGAGAAGGTCATTGAGGTCAGATCGACGGTCATTGAGGTGGATCGAATTCCCTACGACAAACGAAGTATTCTTGCAGACCATTCGCCGCCTTTGAGGTAGGAAGAAAGGCAGTCTAATAGTCCTGAGAGACAATTGTCGGCGCCCTCTTACTCAGGGTGAGACTTAGATCAGCGACGGTGAAACGACTTTGAAAAGCTGCTTGACCCCAAGCAACCGCAGGAAGTCTCTCCTGAAGATTGGCAGGGAACGAATATTAGTCGAGTTGTAGAAAGCTTGAAAAATGGCAAAGCTGCCGGAATCAACGAAATCTGATATGCTTGAAGGTTAAGACGTGGAACTGCAGTGCCTACGGAAAGGACATCACAGAGTGAAGAATAGTTGTCCAACCCCCGTTTAAGAAGGGAGAGGAGACCGTAGGAAGTGCTCCAGTTATCAAAGTTATCAGAGCATTGCCTTATTGAGTCTCCTTGGAAATGTCTACTCAAGGGTATTAGACAGGAGGCTCAGCAAAATAATTGACTAAGATAAAAGACTCGCAGTGTGCCTACAAGTCAGGCCAAAACATTATTGACCAGATCTTCACCTTATCCCATTTGTTAGAATTAGCTTATCCTGTTTACTTGTGCTTTATGGACATGATGAAATTCTATGACTGGATCCAGCGCAATAAGCAATGTTCGTGCCTGCAGACATATGGGACTAATGGCTAGTTGCTATGTGCTATCCACTTATATGCTTGTAGCTGGTGCTATTTTCGAATAAGTGTTGTGTCAGAGTTTCAGGATTGACACTGGTCTGCGCCAAGGTTACGTTATGTCCGCTATCGTGTTTATGTTATTAGTGGATAGGATAATCAGGTAGAGATATGGACACGATAACTTGGCTGTTTGCAAGATCCTTGTTTTTCGGCGTGTTCTGAAATTGGTCCCTAGCACTCTTGAAGAAATAGCAGCAGAATGCGACGTTGCCGTCATGCGTATGAACATGTCTAAACAGAAACGCTATTGCTTTCTCGTTTCCTTCTCATTGCGCTGTACAGTTAAACGGAAATGCACCAAAACATGTAGACAGGTTACCTCGTTATCGTGTTTAGCGGTGATCAGAAATTTGAGGAAGAGATCGACTGGCGGATTTGAGTAGTTAGCGGCGTTCTGCGTGAACTGACCCAAAACGTTGTGATTAAGACAAGTGATCTTTATCTCAATTCCCACCTATGCTAAAAGTAAAGAAAATTCATTGACTTTTAGCTTCCTCAACAATTGTTGATTGTTCGTTTTGAAGTGAAGTCTTATTTTCCTGGAGAATAGGAACATCAGCACTATAGTGAAAGTATGAAAATCGTGTTATATTGGGAAAGGCAGTGCTAGAGTGCTCGTATTTCTAAATCATTCATGTTATAATTAGCTAGTGTGATATCAGTTTGAGAGCCAGAGGCCATCGAAACCCGATGCTGTCATTTGCAAACAGCTTTATCGAGTTTCGAATTTACTTAATAATTTTTGATAACCGCAGCGTATCAGGGAAAAACCGAGAATGCTGAATGGCACATTGGCATATTATTTTTTCGTGTTTTTAGGCGGCGAGGTATTTGCTGCTCTGAGGACTTCGCGGTTAATTTGACTTCGAATTAAATTTGTGTTTAGATTAGAACAATACCATTTTAAACCAAAACAATTAGATAATTATTTGCTGGAGTCCTTGTTTTATGTTATATCAGATCAACTGTAGATGTTAACAGTAAATCCATAAGTGCAAGGTCATAGACATCCTGTATCGTCTTGACTTGTGAGCCGCTCCTGTTCAAGCTGAAGGGTTTACAATGACGCAAATGATCAAGGTTATGTATTAGAGTTTCGCCAAACACTCTTCTCTCAAATTCATATGGCAACCGGTAAAGTGGCGGCCGACACCTGAAGTTACGCTGCAGCCGGTCACCTCACTGTGCCCATATACTGCACTGTCTACTATAGATGTCGGTAACTTCCAAGTCGTTGGAACGCACTTTGCTGACCTGTAGTTAGCGACATCGCTAAAAGCCGTATCCTCATCTATGGCGATTAATGTGTGACTTTCCATTGACCATGTCGGTTGTCCATCTTCAGGCGCACCGTCTGAAAGAGAAATGCTGTTTTTCTGTGCTTAGACGTTCGTCACTTAAATCTCAACACGTGCACTTGATCCGAACCTGCCCAAATTTTTGTTTTTCTGGTATCTTCCCGAACATCGTTTTACTTGATTTTAATCTGTTGTGGTTCAGAAATTGCACTTATATTCTCTTGCATGTCCTTAACCCCTGTAGTTTCTTTGTTACGTGCTTTGTCATGATTCTGTTTTTTCACCAGAACTTAACCGATTCTTCTGTATTATAGCCAACGATCTCAGCATTATTTTATGAATCTCTTCTCCCCCTTTAACAACAACATTGCTGTCAACTAGACATGCTATAGCCATGATTTGTGTTCGCGATTTCATTTTGTCTACCAACACAAAATGCGGTGGACGTTGGCCAATATTTCAAAATCTCAGAGTACTTTCCCATGCACAGTCTCTTTCACCGCTGACGGTTGATGTTCCTACCGTTTCTTTGCCACTGGTAAGTCGGTTCTTAACCACAAATGTCATTGGATTCCAGAAAATATCTGTCGATCTCATCCTTTACTTGACCCATTCTGCACTTTACTTCTGATTTCTTATGCTGAATGTTCGCTTTATACGAGTTCGTATATAGTGTTTGGTCTTCAGTGGCTACTGTTAGAAGAACTTCGGATCTACCACTTGATAGCTGTTTGAAAGTCTAGTGAATATTTGTTTCTTTTCCGAGGTTATGAAGGTACTGTCCAAGAAGCTGTCTATTTTCCAAAACTACTGTTTCGGCCATTCTATACATTTTACTCGTGGGCTTCTGCATTTGCAGATGTTTTCTGTTTTAGTTTGCACAGGCCGTTAACCCTTTACAGCCATCAGCACCCCACGGTTCATTGTCATAGCCAGATAGTTCCTTAAGGATGACATCTCAAACTTCAGCGTATCTTTCATGCTACTAAGCCCTTTTCTTCCTTTACGCGGAACATATAGTCTCTTTGTATCGGCCATCGTATGTACAGTTCCGTACATGTTCAAGATCTTGACTTTTTATCCGATTCTGTCCTTTCCCTACACGTTCAGTCGAATATGTCTCATGTATAAGCCAGCTCTAGTGCGGTATACTGGTTAATGGCTGCAGTTTTGTTCTTTCCGCACAAGTGGCTTTTTAGGATTTGGCGGATGCTCCTCGTATTTTGCTTTTATTGTTAATATCATTTTTTTCATGTAATATATTGTGACGTTCTAGCGCGCAGAGGTAGTCGTAAAACTGTCCTTCTTCCAATTGGTATATTCTCATCATTCCTTTTTCAGATCTTTCCCTTCCTAATCTCGGCCACAATTGGTTAATCCAATCTGAATTCCATCTTGATATCTTCCGAAAAGATTCGTTGGCTTCGGATCACGCCATGTCCGTCCTTTTACCAATCTCGCATACAATTTTATTTCGTCCCTGTACAGCTGATGCGATATTACACCGCAGTCTTTCAAATGATACCACTTCCTGGTGTTACGATGAGTAACTGAGAGTGTGAATACCAGACAGAATTGTAGCGGCAAGATTAAATGTTCCTTGAAAGTTTCTCGCTTGATATTCTTTAATCAAGTGAAGACTTTCTTGGATAGCAGTGTTATTCATCGCTGTTTCGAAGAACCTTGAAGTTGCACAATCTAGCTATGTAATACTAAATCAAATGCCTTCTTTGAGTCGATCCAGTCCATAATCCTGTAGGTCTTCCTCATCTTACAATTGCGCCTTTTCCACGAGTAACAGATCTTTCGGTCCCGTTGATTTCATTTTTTGACTACGGAGAAGACACCAGCGGACTCAGAACGGGAGTTGTACCCCTTTTAATCAAGGCAGACCACTAGAAATGCTCCAAATATAGGGGCATTACGTTATTGAGCCTCTACGAAAAGGTGCTTGAAAGGAGTTGCCGCGGAATAACTGACTCCAAGACAAGAAGAGCATTGTGGCTTCAAGGCCAGTCGACACAACTGACCATATATTTGGCCTGCGCCAGGTTGCTGAGAAATCGTGGGAGTACGCCCTTCCGGTGTACATGTTTTTGTTGACTTAGAAAAGGCCTATTGCCGGATCCCACGCAACAGTCTGTGGTCATGCCTTCGAGCATACGGGATAGATGGCCAGCTGCTGAAGGCCATTGAATCACTGTATTCTGAGAGCAGGTGCCGCGTCAGGGTAAATGGCGTTAAGTCGAAACCTTTGAACATTGGCACTGGTCTCGGCCAAGGCTGCGTCCTGCCCCGTATCCTGTTTGTATTTTACATGGATGGAATAGTCAGGAGCTGCAAAGGCGCTGAGTGTATCCGTGTAGGAGATGTGGAGACGATATGGTTGCTGCTTGCAGATGGCCTTGTTTTATTGGCATCTCCTGACACTGATCTACGGTGCTGCTTAAAATTTCTCGAAGCCGAGTTGACCGTCGAATTGGAGTTGCCAATGACGTTCTGCGTTAACTAACCCGTATCCTGTTTAAACTTAACCCGTTCTTCGTCTAAAGATTAAGCTCTCGGTGTTCAAGTTGATCGTTGTCCTCGTGCTTTCTTACGGTCATGAGTCGTGGACGATGACTGAGAAGCTTCGATCTCGGGTAGAAGCGGCTGAAATTGGCTTTCTGAGACTAGTTCCTGGTCCGGAATACAGACATGCGGGAGAGCCTTTGTGTACAGCCTCTGCTTCTCCAGATTGAGAAGGCACAGGTGCGATGATTTTCCATGTGCTGCGAATGCCTCCAGAAAGGAAGGCTAAGCAACTATTTTTTTTGACCCGCAGGATGCCCAGGGGATGGTTAAAATTAATCTGGTGCGCATATATAAAAGGCGTCTTTTCCGCGCTTCAGTTATTTTCTGCCGTAGCTTGGACTTGGACGAAGCACAGTGGGTAGCGTCTGCCCCCACTACCCAAAAGGAGAGCGACCGTAAAAGATGAAGATTTTTTTTGGGAAGTACTTGGTTGTTTTCTTTAAGATGCCCATAAACGGCGCTGCCTATTATAGACTTCAGGTATTTCCAGGTTTTTGGATGTTACGTGATCGTCCACAGTTAGTCACATCGCCATAGAGCTTGTTCTTTTCCCTCAAGAATAGGTGTGTCACTCCTTCTCTTAACCAAAAATGTGGTCGTTCTTCGTCACTCTCTGCAAGAATAGCTAATGTGCCTGTTACGAGCTTGGCACTGCTCTGTGTTTCTTCCATCTGACCGCCTCATCCATATTCTATTTCGGTAAATGTGACCTCTCCTTGTTTGCACATTTTCGGTTCTTTTGTTTGTCCTTTATTCAGTTGACTTTGTTGTGAGTTCTCTTTCTTTAAAAACTGAAGCAGCGTTTTTATTTAGGACCAGGGTGCGTGTTCATTGTTTGCCTCCAGTTTTATATTTAGGGCTTTAATATTTTGAACGAAGATCTTGTTCTGTCTGAAAGTTTTTCTTCTCGAACCTGTTGGGGTGTTCCAGGATCTTTGCCAACATAATGTAGCTAACAGGTTCTGCGTCTTAGCATTCACCTTTGCTTTAAAGTCTTAGCATTCACCTCTGGTTGTTTTTCTGCGCCATTTCTGCCCTTTTTGATTAAATTCACGTTTTATTTGTTTATGTTGCCCCTGTTCAGTTGTAGTTGGTTCGCATCTCGGCATATTTCTTGCTGATTGTTCTTTATTCTTTTCTATATTCTTTTCTTCTTCAGGTGGGTGTCGGTTTAAGTCGTTTAAGTTTCATCGTTGTCTTAACAGCTGTCTCATAAATCATTCCAAGCTGCCTAAAACCAAAGTATATAATATTTTAAAAATGTTTTATGTGTCAACAGACGGATAAAACCCTTACTAATACAATTTCCGTCTGCGAAATGGTAGTGAAATGAGAGTGCAGGGAAAGGCAAAACGAAGTTGAATGGATAATCCATTAACACTTATATAACAAGCCATATTACCTTTGGCCAGGTAATGGCAGAAACATCAGCCGAAATTTCTGAAAGAGATGGATCAGGTGAGAATACTCCAGAACATTCCAACACAAACCAAAAAAGATTTGCTAGCTTGTCTTACGACCATCGTGTTTGTACACAAAGCGAAATGGCGGCACGATTCCCTAGTACAGAATGCCCGGTTGAAGGCAGCGTTGTTGTTAATTGGAGACAAACGATACTCAGGCATTAAGAATTGAGGATGGAAATACAGATTACCTGTAGAGTAAAGTTGAACTTCGTACATAAAAATAAACCCGATCTTATGTATTACTAGCATACTGCTAGTTGTCGACACTGCCGCTAAGAGAAATAACACTTACTCTTTTGATACCGGATTCAAGCGGCGCAATGGCACTGTCCTCTTTCTTCTCGTCGCCTAACGGACAGCTTAAGCAAACCACGGCTCTATGGTATTTCAGCACCTGCACTGCATTCATGCAGAACCATATGTATAAATATATTCATCTTCATCATCATCTTCCATCGCCGCTTCTCCTTTCGGGCCGCGGAGGCAGACGCGTCAGACAGTGCTTCCAACGTTCCCGATCCTGT